GATTTAATTCTTCCTTTTTAACAAAAAACAGTACAATGTTTGCACTTTCCTTATTAAAGTGTCTCAGTGAAGAAAGATTTCCTCCATGAAGCCAATTTATTTTACTGACCTGACTTTGCATTCACTTCCAAGGCAGTGAAGGTTGCACCACCTTAGGTTCACACTCAGTACATGCATATAAGATGGAATTTGCTCTTCAGTGCGTAATGTCTGACACAGCAATCACATATGTTATAGATACATAACTAGTTAGGAAAAAAAAAATATTTTTACATAATTTTATGTTTGCTGAGCCATTAAGATATATTCAGTGTACTAGGTTGCCATATAGTTTCTGTTGGCGTTCACTCCCCAGAGTAGAGAATGCAAGTGAATGAAACAAAAGCAGAAATGCTTTTTGCCAGTGACAGCCTGCTATTTTATATTAGTATCCTGATGCTGCTGTCCATCTGGATGCAGCCATGCTGTGTAGGTCCCTGCATCAGCTGCGCCTCAGTAACAAGGCGGCGCAGCACAGATAGGGATCTCCCGTGGGTTTGGGCTCCAGCTGGAACAGCCCTGCTAGTCCAACATGTTCCTATTATTGTTTGTGACAGAGTCAAGAAGGACATGGAAGTAGAAGAAAAAAAGAAAGCAAATGCATGTGCTAAGCTTGTGCTTTGGGTTCTTCTTTGAGTGTCCCCATTGTAATTATGGGCATGGGTGGCCAGCAATGACAGCTCATCTGTTATCCAGCCAGCAGGAGCATACAGCACCTGGTGAGCCACGCGCAAGAATGATGAGCCACAAACACACAAATTCCTAAATATATGCATATTTTTAAATGAAACAAGAAAAAGGAGTATTGGCACATGCGTGTAGTTGTTTGCTGATTATTAACACAAACTGAGAGTTATCACTTATTTTATATCACTTACTTGCAAATTAGCTGAGATGCACAGGTTGAACCAATGTTGTTATCATCTTAATTAGCCTCATCATGTCATATATTTGCAGCTCAAGCATGAGCCGTATGCTTTAAATTAATTATAGTAGATGAAACAATTCAGATCAGATCTTTAACTCCCCGTTATTAAACAGCTTTCAACAGAGCAGCAACACTAATGTCTGCACAACAAATTAGCATACCTAAATGTAAAATGTGCAAGTAAAATATTTAATAACTGGAATTTGTCTGTTTCCACACATTAGTGGGAAATTAATAGTTTAAATGTTTTTGTCTTTTTTTTTTTTTTTTGGTATGCGTGCCTTCTTGTGTATATTACTACCATAACCTTGTGCACAATGACAAGGAAATTAAACTTTTTTTTTTTTTTTAAATAAAAACACAACCTTCCGCAAAACAGAGAACATGGAATATCTATTACTTGCTTTATTTTTTCTGATTTGGCTGAATTTTCAGTACTTTCTCATAAAATGACTGGTCAGAACTATTTTCACACTGAGAATAGTACAGAGCATGTTTTTTGTCAATTCAACCGTCTCTCCTTTGGTGACACCAAGGGATCCAATCATTTGTGCTTCCCCTTTGACAAAACCCTTCCAATCAGGAGTGACTAATGACTGGATAGGTTGGCATGCAGTGATCCCAGCTTTCTAATTAGTCTTCAATTAACTTGTTCAACCTTGGAAACTGCAGGGTGCGCAGTCAACATGCACACACTTTGCAGCTCCAGACCAAATATCGGACCTCTACTGTAAAGTCAAAGACCTGAGATAAAGGTTGTTGCGTGCACTTTCTACTCTATAGACATCATTTGACTGGGCTTCTCTAACACAGGAATACGTTTTTATTCAAATCAATCCGTCGTAGCTCTGAATGTACGCTGTGGGTCCTAAACGTTCCTCCTGGAAGACAAACTTCTCTCTCAATCTCAATTCTTTTGGAGCTCCTGGGATTGTGCTGGATTTACAGTACCTCCATCAACTTTGACCAGCTTGCGTGTCCGGACAGGGAGACACTGTGAAACGGGTGGGATTAATCATGTTTTTCATGTCGACCAAAAAGTTCAATTTTGATCTTCTCTGAACAAAGCAGTTTTTCTGCATGCTTGCTGATTCCATTAACTTGCTGCTACATGCTACTTGCTGCTTCATGTTACATATCTTTTGGCAGGCTGCAATAGCGATTTCTTACACTTTTGAAAACTTTCTTCATCGACTTCACTTGACTTGACAGCTACATGCTGCTTCATGTTTGTCCATTTTACACTTAAAGTCCATGTAAAATGCATCTAGGTCTGCAATTATAATATGATAACAGACTAAGTTAAAAGTGTGTTATATTTCTCCACTATTTTTATTTTTTTTTTACTTTTGCAAACCATTATTAAAACACCTCAGGAATACAAGATGAATCGAGTGACTGTGAATCGATACAATGTGAATTGAGCATTTCAAAGTGTGTAAGATCAAAAATGTCCCTTATATGTCTTTTAGACTTTTTTTTATTTGACTACACAACACTTTTTTGCACTCCAGGGGAAAAGGTAAGTTCATGCTGGCACAGTGTACACTTTGAAGAAAAAAGAGAGAGAATCACCTCTCTGTTCTGCCTGATTCATTTTGGACTCCTACGAATTCTCAGCCAACAATATTTGTTTGGATGCAAACAGAATGTCAGTGTTCTACGCCCACATTTCTGCTCTCTTTTTTTTGTGTCTGTTTTGGTCTGGTTGATGTATGTCAAAGTCCATTCAATGTGTTCCTGATCGGTGGAATAAAAGAACTTGCCTGAGTCTTGTGCAGAATACAATGCAATTTCACATGCTGCTTCAGGGACATGGGGAATACAGGAATCTGGGAAAATATACGACATGGATGAGTAAGATCTCACTCAGCTCGGTGTATTAACAGCATTAAAAACACCATAGCGTAAAGATAACTGACATCAGCCTGTGTGTACGCATATCCCCACACACTGATCTTTCTGTCTGATGCAAAACATCAAGCCATGCTTCATCCCGTATCACAGCTGGTGGCCGTTTTTCGAACAGAGTGCCATATAACTATGATAGAAATTCCCAGGGAGCTGCCGTTGTTTGGCATCCTAGCACCCAGTGGTGTGCCCTGTCTCGGCGCATTATAGTTTTGTTTTGGGTTTTTTTTCTTTTCGTCAGCGAGTCCATTCCTTTAAAAGAAGGCTTGAAGCTTCCTTTCATTTCCTATTAAGGTTGAAAGATGGGCAGAGTAAGTCTACAGACTGCAAGCAAACCGCCATCAAGACAACCAGAAAAAATAAAAATGTCCTGAATACAATTTCTAACATTTACTCAAAATCCCCATCATAAAGTATTAATGGGTGTACTGTATATGTGTATAAGCACCAGTCGGGGGCCTCTTTGATGTTGCCCCAAGTGTCAAGCAGTGTTGGGAATGAGGCTTTTAGTTCCGTTTTTTTTCCTCGACATATCATTGCGCTGTGTGGAGGACGATGGTGTGCAGATACTGTGGCTGTTGTGTAAAATCACCATTATTCAGGAAAGCAATGATGAGATGCCTGGTGTTTAATGCTTCTGTCTGACTGATGCCTGCACATGCAGCGGAGACGGGTGAAAGTGAAAGAGGTGACCTCTTTCTCTGCAGTCTAAAGAGCTGCCTGTGTGTCTGCTTTTAGCCCCATTGTCACTGTGTGCGTGTGTGTGTGGTGGGGGTACCTGGCTCCTCAAAATCTTTGTACTGTAGTAGCATTTTATTAATTCATTTTTACAAACTGCAAATTTGCAATTTTTTTTTTTTTTTTTTTGCTGAATTTGTTACTTTTTTAAACTTGATTTACGTGTTTGATTTTCTTCCGTATGCCCATGTAGATGAGGCCTCTGATTAAAACAATTCAACTTTTTCAATTTAGCTTAGGAGTTTTTATTTCCCAAGGGGTAGAAAAGGAAACGGTAACCAAATTTAAAATCATTAAACAAGTACAATTGCTCGATGTTATTATATTTTAATTTGTAATTATAAAGTCTTTGCCTAATATCAAATCTACCTATAAGATGTCTTCAGTAAGCAGTTTAGAAGTGCTGCACTGTTGTTCTATCTATTTAGTGAGCAAACAAAACCCTTTTTCCTAATGCCCCCACAGCACTGGTGTGTGATGAGGCCAGGTTTATGTGATTTGTGTCTTCAGTAACATGGTATGCAAATTATCTATATTTAAAGAAACATTTAAGATCATTTCTTAGGCTTCTAGATGCTACAGGTGAATTGTGAAAACCCACTTTCAATTTAAGCTGCCCTCATGAATGGGCAAAATCTATTGTGGAGAAAAAGAGATAAAGATTGAGCCATTTGAATACAGTGAGGAGACAAGTGTTTGTAGGTAAGGTAAGAATGCTGTACTAAGTTTCAAGCATGGTGGTGCTGTCATCATACTGGGAAGGTTAGTTTTTCTGGTGCACTGCACAAAGTGAAGAAATAAAAAAACATTGTATTTAAGTCAACATCTAAATGGCTAAAACTCAGAGGCATTTAAGTGTTTTGATCCCAAAAGCACTTCAAAACTGGCTTGGAAATGGATAAAACAGTAACTTGAAGCTTCTTACAGTACCTTCTAAAAGCCCAGACCCAGATAAGAAATTTGCAGACTATACTTGAAAGCCTGGTCATTTTATAAAAGTTGCAGTATTGTTATTTAGCTTTGTTCAAAGTCCCTACTGCTTTGATAAATTTCAATCTTCAATTTACACAGCTTTCCTAAGCCATTTTTAATAAAAGAAAAAAAAATAGAATGATGAAAAATAGTCTGTTAAATCTAATTCAATTTTCAACATTTAAATTATGGCTTTATAATCGTTATTAATTTAAGACTCCAATTCAGATTCATTACTTGTTAGTGAACTGTTTTGGTGTCTTATGAGAGATGTTTTTATTATGCTCTTAAAGACTACATGCTTTTATCTTGTCTGGGTTTATACAGTCTTCTGCTGTATAATTAACAAGAAAAATATGTTTTAGTCTGTTTTCAGTAATCACACATTCGTCTTCCTGTTCTTATTCTTTGCAGATCACACGAGTCATTTTTTGTGTCTTCCTCGAGACTGATTTTGCCATTTACAAGAAGAAAATGGCCATCATCTTTCAAGGTAAGGATGTTTACTTCCCAAGGACAGCATTTTGCATTGTTTTGCTAATTTTACCTGTTTTTTGGTGGGGGGGTTTGTCTTTGAGCAAAACAAATTAAGGAAATGATTACTTGTTACCATGGCAGCATACTATTTAGAAAGTATGGGATATCTCTCGCTGTTAGTCACTATAGCGATAAAGAGAATTTGCGATCTATGTTGTTTATTCCCTGGAGAAAATGGTTTAAAGACCTGTCAGACTTGAGTGACATCTTTAAACGTGAAAGCATGAAATGCCGAGAAAATCAGTGCGGAAAGTTGTCAAATCAAATGCCAAGTTCGCCACGCGTTGCTTTAATGCGATTAGAATAGTTGACGTCTTTTTCAGTTTATCTGCAGACTGATCTGTTCTACAGTTTTAAATATCTTAGTGGGATGTAAATGGCAGATTCATTTCAGTGTAATAATGACTTGGATTTCTCCTGCAAGAGCTGAAAACATTCAGGGGTGCGTATGCATAGCAACATATCATCCCTGGTTACTGCTCCACAGCTCTACGTGTGGAATAAACAAACATCCATTATCTCCTACTCCCACTCTCTTTTCTGCCCCTCTCTCGATTCACTCGCCCCTTTTCATGCCATCATCTTTTTACGGGGACAGGGAGCAGTCACCAGCTCTGATGGGGGCTCCACAGAGGACTGAGCTGAATAGCCGGGGAGCTGAAAGAGGCTGGCTGGCTTCACCAGCCTAGCATTACCTCCCATTTACCTCACTTTTCCCTCTTCACCTCCCCAGCGGAATACCAGCTCTCAGGCCTTCATCTGGCTGTTCCCAGATGGAGAGTGTTTTGTTCTCCCTGCTCTCCCGTCATCTCCCCCGCCCCTCCGCCCAGGCTCTTGCCTGAAAGATTACATTCTGAGGAGAGACCTTAATTATGCCTGCCTGCCCTCCTGCACCCAGCACCCGTCTCATCATATTAGTGTTTTGAGATGAGAATCTGGAGCTGTTGTTCTCCAGTTATCTCTCTCGCCATTTAAAAGTGTAGTCAGGGGATAAATGCTCCACATCTCTCTGAAACAGGGAGCAGGGCTAAAATAAAATGACAGCCGCCAAGTGTGTGTGGCACAAAGAGCAATCCAAAGATATTTACTTATAGTCTGGTAAAGCCATCGAAGCGAGCAATTACCATGCCCTGTGGAAAGTATTCATGCTGCTTAAACTTTCTGGCACTTTGTCACCTTACAACCTAAAATGTCATTGTATTTTGGGATCCAGTGCATAACTATGAAGGCAAAGTAAAGACCTAAATGGTTTTCAAACTTTTTTTTTCTTTCTTGAGTAAAGAATAATTGGGATGATTTTCTGTTTAAGCCCCCTGTGCCACAACTTTGTGAGGCCAGCTTTCAGTGCAAGCTCTTTCTAGAATATACAATTTTTACTTGTTCTTTGCAAAATAGCTTAAGGTCAGTCAGAATGGATCGAGTTTTTCCGCTGATTCTTGACTAGAATTAGATCTGGACTTTCACTTGGCCATGCTGACACATATTTATGCTCTGATGTTTTGCCGTTAGGCTAAAAAGTTATTTTAGTCACATTGGATTTTTCAATATTTCTTATGTTTTGCCTTCATGATATATTCTTAGAGCTATATTTTAGCAATGTTGTTCTTTTTGCCACACTAATGGCCAGATTCATGGCGTGCACAGCTAATACTTAAATAGTTTACAGATTCTGAACTGAGGATCTCTGTAGCTCCTCCAGAGTCAGTACACTAGTTTTTCTTGATTGAAATCTCTATTTATGTTGATGTTCAGGTCTTGGTGGCTTTGTAGCTATTCTGTAAATCTGGCTCTGAGCTGTCTGGGGTGTTCCTTAGTCTTAATAATGCTGTTTGTTCTCCTCACAGGGCGGTTGTTTTCATCTGCCTTAAATTCGATACCCTAAGGCTGCATTCACACCAGCCCTGTTTAGTCCCCCTAAATCAAACTCTGGTTAATTTTCTAGAAAGTCAGTTTTGTTTGTGGAGGTGCTAATGCGTAATTTGGGTTTGTTTGAAGTGAACTCCGGTGCTGTTTGAATGCATACGTGGTTGCAAAGAGGGCCAAAAACCGCCCCGAAAGCAATAAGCGAACGGTATTATAGGGCATTCTGGGAAAATATATCCAATGCAAATGTGAGAGTCTAGGCTAGCGTAAAGAAATGGATTGTGGTCTTTTAGCTAAGTCCAAAAAGAAATGTTATCATTTCTAAAATTTGTTGCCGTTCCATTTTGTATACAACTCGTAAAGAACCTTCTTCAGAGGTTTTTGTGTAACTTCATTCAGTGGTTCTTGATGCAGTGCCGCCACAGGCGAGGTGGGGGGAGCAGATTTTGCAAAGGCTTTTTTTTGTTGTGTAAAAGCGAACTGCACCAGCTGAAGAGGTAACAAATGTTTCAATTTGGGTTTCCAATGGAGCCGTACTAGACTGTCAGTGGTACAGTCAATTACAATCAAGTGCTTTCAGACGATATCTAATTTGTAAGTAGAATTGACTGCTGCGGGGAACTGGTTGCACTGGGTTTTATTTTGGGGTGTCAGATTACAGGAAAACAATGAAGATTGAGGCTTTAGTATGGCAAAATGTGAAAAGGTTTAAAAACTATGAAAACTTTTGTATAGCTTGTAAATTTTGAAAGCAGGAGTCAGAAATTTAATTAATATCTGCAGCAGATACCATGACATTCCTCACCCGTCATCTGCTCTTTGACCCCTGAGGTTCAGGGCCGCGCTCATGTCTGCTCTGCTAACATGTGTGGGCAGGAGAGAATAAGTGAGTGTGACTTTTCCACTCTGGATCAATGTCAGCGGTGAGCCAGACATTTTTACTCCACTCTCACCTACACCTGTTCTAATCTTTCAGCTCATGATCAAAGATCAAAGCATTTACCACATCCTCAGTGAAAAATGAAGCTCTTTCAACACGTTCAGTCAGGAAGAACAGAGACGTGAAATTAAGAATCCCCTGAATGTCGACTACATCCTGATGGAAGGGGGAGTGGATTCATATGGCTGATCCAGCAAAATGTATTTCGGAGGTCGTGGAAAGGTTTGCTGTAAAGAAAGAAATGCTGATTGGTATGATTGCGACATGTCACTAATGCATAACCCCGTAGTGTGAAAAGACTTGCATTTAGCCTGTGCAGAATGGTGGTAGTGAATCAGACGCTGCGAATTAGCTCTGCAGGTGTGCTCGAACACTTTCAGAACATCTCATCATCCTCACTGCCAGGGGAAGACAGTGGTGTGGATCCACACCGATGCCACACACTGAGGCTTAAGATCATTCTGTCTCCTGCAGCACGCTCGCTTTCAATAACCCTCCGTTATATCGACCAGCCGGTTTTTTTTCCTCTTCCTCTCCTTACTTGCTCTCACTTACGCCTCTCCTCGTTCACTTGCCCATTACCTTATTCTCCTACTTTCTATCATTCCTTCCTATTGCATTAAGGAGGGGCTTCTCCATTGCCTCTTCTATCAGCAAGCTGCTGCAGAGCTGCGGTGATTGGTACTGCTTTGTGCTCTTTTTAGTATTTGTATATGTGTGTAAGGGAGGGTGGGGGGTCATGTTAGAAGTCCAGATCTTCCCCCGTCTCATCGGTTTCAGGAATGCTTGAGCTAAGGGCAGACAGAATAGATTTTTATTTTGAAGTCTCGCTACTCCCGTTTTTCATTGTATAGCCGCTCTCCTCGTATTCAAGCAATCTGTCAAGTGACAATGACTGGAGCAAGAATGTGTAAACAGGACATTTGCATACAGGAAATTGCTTTATTACAATGTGAATCTCCACAAGCTGTCAGTGAGAGGGAGCCAAAATATGGTTACTTGTCTGCAGAAGGAGGAAACTGAAAAATAGCCTCTGCTGACAATAATAATCGTGCATACCAGCCATGGCGCACACTGGAAACAGGTAGTTAAACCATGTAGAGTATTGAATTTCCCACTTTTGACATGCTTACGAATGACTGCACATTCTGCTTTGCACTGGTATGTTATTTGTGTTCAAGCAGGCTCATTTAATGAGTACTGATACAAGCAGACAAAGGTCTTTTATGTATCACCAGCTCAAGGAGCACTTCATGCATTCAGAGTCGTGGAACCTCTGAAGCACACAAAGACTGATATATGCAAATAGACAAAAAGGCTTGTGCACACCACCGCTATCTTTTACCTGCATTGGACCAATCATTATCCATTACATAGCTCAGTATCAGGGTTTGTACGCATTGATATAAGGATCTGATAATTACGCCACCTATTCTTGCCTTGTTAAAAGAACCACCAGTGTTTGTCCTGCTTGAAGAAATGTAATCAGAACCACAACAGTTGCTGCGTTTGTGTTTTTTAAACAAAGAAAATAATACCTTGACTGGATTTACTGTGTCTTGAAAATTATCCTCCAGTTTGTCATCATACCTGACTGTAATTTCTTGGCATTTTATTTGGAGAACATAAAAACGGCAGCGTTGTGACATCAAAGGAAAATGAGATATGCTTCTGAAAGTTTTTTACTTTTTTTTTTTTTGGCAAATAAACCTTTGAAAAGTGTGACGTAGACTTGAATTCCTTGCTCATGCAGAACCATCCATCTCTGCAATTTCCACTGTCTTTTAAGATATGTCTCCACAGTCTTTCATGTTAAAAATCGGCTTGTTCATCGACACAAAATGGAAAATGCTCAGTCAGACTGCACTGAGAAGGTATTTCAGCTTCCATGTTTGCCACTGTATCCACTGCATACAGTTTGTGTTACACTTCAGTAATATTTACTACGTTGTTTTTCTTTTGCTGTCACATAAAATCACTGTTTTTGTTTTTGGTTGTGATTTCACAAAATGCAAACCAAAAAAAAAAAAAAATCCTGAGAGGTGTGTGGACACTTGGACTTTGCTGTACACACACACACACGCATACGCATACACACACACACACACTTCAGTTAATTTATTTAATCATGTGATTATACTCTGATTCTGATTGTCGTGTCTGACCACATGCTTGTCTCGGCTCGTGTTATTTGCGAGAATGGAAGCAGCCAGGCAGCTGTGGTTGTAGAGAGTAAAAAGCATGTAGAAATTGATTCTGGGTACACTCCTCTCCTAATATGATCCGGGTGGCTGCCCACAAGCTGGGTTCCATCTCCTCTTCTCCTCAATCAGCCACGGTGCTGACAATATTAACACAACCCACAGATCTGCAGAGACTGCTGCATTCTCTCCAACTGTTTCACCGACTTCCCAATTGACATTTATTTACATGGTTCTTAATACACTCTATATCCTTAGCATTTCTACACACACACACTCACCTAAAAAAAAAAATACCATGGCTCTCCTACTCCTTCGGAAGAAGTAGCGCTGTGGCATGCGCGCGCTTTTATCGCGCACATGTAATTTGTTGAGGGAGGGTATGAAAGGCTAAGGGAACCCTGTGAGGGGTGAAAATGAAGTCTGTGTCGGTTCCACAAAGCTGTTCCTCAGGTTTGGGAAATGAGGAAACCATGGTGTATTAGTGATGTGATTGTGAGAAAGCACAGGCTCAGCTTTGGCAGCACGAGGATTCAGTTTCAGCTCGCTATCAGTGAAAAAGGGTCATGTTTGTGCATAAATCAGACATGTAGTGAACAAGCCCTGCATATTTGCTTATCAACATTTCACTGTTGTGTTGACATGGTTACTTACTGAATAGGCCTGGTTTTAGTACAGTCCCAGTTTTAACATTAAACAGTTTGAACTGCTGCTTTTAAGGCTGTTCAATCTGAGTTCAAACATTACCAAAGAAAATCTTCTTTTATAGTGAATTCTTTTTTAGGCAAGATTTATTTGATGTTTAATATAAAAGTGTGTATATAATATGATAATCTTTGTAAGTCTATGATATATTTTTGCCATGTCATTAAAGTTTTAAATCCTGATAGAATATTAAGCCTTTCTAGTATCTTAGAATAAGCTTTAAATCTGTGTTTGTGTTTTTTTTTTTCTTTCCGCGGAAGGGTGAATGAGGAGAGCCTTTCAAATGGAAAATTTTAAGGGGAACTCTTAAAATAGACGGGTATGAACTTTGCCGGCAGTTGTGCTAAATTTTGCCTTGAAAAAATCAACAATTTAAGTCTCCTCCGAAAGCATTCACAACCTTTGACTTTTCAACTTTCGGTCACATTATTCCAACAATATTCTTGTTTTTGTGTCCTGTCACGTCAGCTTTGGCAAACATTTGGCAGTTCTGGTCGCCTTGCAGTGTGAGATCAGATTTCTTTTATATTGACTTCTGCTGCTAAGTTGAAAATATAAAGCATCTCAATGAAAGAGAAAAATGTACAAACCCTGCAATCATAATGGCAGCATTATGCAGGGAAACTACAACATTGACCAATGAAGGACTGGCCAGTTCTTTCCATCAATTCATGCCCACACTTTGTATCTAGACATTGCCATTTTGTCTGGCCCTACTTCCATTTCACTTTTAAAAATCCATCTTGTATACATGTCGTGAGAGGAAAGATAAAAATTTCACAGCTTTATGCCACACTATTCCTGTTGAGTACGCTTCTGATAAACCTTGACATATTTTGACACTTGAATCAAAGCATAATCACCCTGGGTGACCTCCTGCTGTTGGGTGCTGTATAAAAGAAGTACCTATCAGTAGAACATAGAAAAATCTTTTAAACCATCTCTTGTCAAAGTGGGCTACCAAACCTCCCACTGCAAATGGGCACATATCTGTGCAAAATGTTGTTGACTGTAAAGACACCACTAGTGGAAAAGTATTACATCACAAGCACCCTTGACAAATAAAACCAGAACAAAACTAGAAAAGGACAAATAATTAAACATGCATACAAATCCCAGTCACTTACTCGTGTGTATTTTATGATGAGATACCAAAAGAATATTTAAGCTAAGCGTTTAAACAAAATTTGTGGATGGTTTCAAGCACTGTGTAGGGTAATTTTTCTTCTCTTGAGGCTCTGCTGGAGACAAAATTCACCCACTTGCAGATTGAAACATTCCAATGGATTTCTCAATCAAAACGCTTCGAAAATGATCACATTTTTAATATTCAGCTTTAATTTACCATAAAAAGATCTACCAACACTGACGCAGTTTTGTTCCTGTCAGTCTCGACATCTTTGTGCATGGCTCTAAAAGTAACTTTGCTGGAATGATTGATGGAGAAACAGGAAGAAAACGGGGACAAAAGCAAATGCGTCACATACAGTTATTCATGACCACGGCGCGCACATTTCCTGCCTGGACGAGTGCTTGGCTGGTGAAACCGCGCTATAATATTTGGCAGTAGTTGAAGCAGCTTCTGTTTCCATTCTTGCACTGTTGTTACTGTATCAGTGGGCCTTTCTTTGTTTCCCCGAGCAGGGTTAGATTAATGCACTGTACCCTTTTATTCAGTGTTATACAAAAGAAAAGCCTGTCGCAGGATCCGCAGGGAGCTCTGATGGTTGCACTTCTACAGAACAGATGACAACAGCCTTTCATCAAAGCGAACACACTCTTTTGCTTGTTAAACCGCAATGCAATCATTTTCCCCGAGTCAAACCAAGCCGTATATACATATATAATCACAAAATGTGCATACTTCACTCATATGAACTGTACTTCGGAAAAAAAACAACAAAAAACAAAAAACAAGCATGCCAACTGTTGTGGCATGACACAACACACCCTGAGCATGCTGTGCTGCATAAGATCTGAGTGTAGGAATGCATTTGAGAAAAGAACCAGGAGCTCAAACTCTCACTCAACAGTTCCTCCAGAAGCAGATCCCAAAGCCTGTTTCTCATCTCATGCAGTGCAACTCAACTTATCCATCCAGAGACACCTGTAACTCACCTTAAAGTCTCTCTCACAGCAGGGATAGAGGGACTCAAAGGGAAAAGGTACAATTGTCAAGACCGGTCTGCAGTTCTTGTAATTTCAGGACATATAAGGTTTTATGTCACTCATGCCAAGTCTTGCAGAATGAACTTAATTAATTGAAAACAAATCTCTGAAGAATATGACATTCTTAAACAGCATACTCACATACTCAGAGCTTTGTCATAATAATAAGAGACTGATGTGAAATGGAGATGGGTTATTACTGGGTCTAATTTAAAAAAACATCTTAAAGACTGGTTCTTCAAAAGCCAGCAATGTCTACATTGAGTGTTATCAAAAAATATATAGATTTTCAGGTGGTTTTATGCATTTATTATTGTGCTTTAATATCAACACACAAATTGGACTAGTTATGGAAATTAACCACCTGGCTATGATCTCATGTGTTACATTTAAATATTCATTAATACTAACTGTTCAGTTTTGAAAAGTATACTTGAACTTAAACTTAAGGCTGCACAGTGGCAGAGTTGGTAGCACTGTTGCCTTGCAGCAAGAAGGTTCTGGGTTCGATTTCCGGATCGGGGTCTTTCTGCATGGAGTGTTTAGGAAAAATCTTTTTCGTTTTGGGAGAGAGAGAAACACTGAATCAATCAGAGAAATGCGCATTTGTCTTTAGATATTTTATTTAGAAAATCAGAGTAAATATCAGCATCTGAGAAAAGAAAAGCAAGAAGTGAAACTTAACACATACAATTCTCCTTTTATATCAGCAGTTTTATATCACGGTGCCTTCCACCTGTCTCTCTCCTGTAGGGCGTTTCTCTCAGTTTCTCCCATCTCTGGTTAATTGGTACCTCTGTCCCTAAATCAAATCTGGTTCAAAGGAGTTTTGGTTGGAAAGAGAAGAAAAACATCTTCACTGAAACCTCAGTTATCAGTTCCATAAGTATAACACCTGCTCAGAAACCTTCATTATCAGTTCATTCTTCCCAGTAAATAAGCGAAAGTTTTATTTTCCAAGACAGGAGTTTGCATATTCTCTCCGAGCCTGGGGAGAGAACCTTATTGTTTGGAAGACGTGAAATAGACACACAGTGTTGAAATACTGTGTTCTAAAAAGTGTAATCAGTTTATGATGACAGGTTGTATTGTACTTTATAAAGCTGCCTGCTTTAACACACTCATTTCCCTCCTCCTTCCAGACAATGACATCGAGGTTACGGAGGAGCAGCTGAAGGGAGGTGAGTGACAGAATATTTCATGGTTGCCTTTTCACCTTAACACCTCCATTAAAGCAGACAGAGGGTGAGTGAGCGCCGTAGCGCTGGCTTGTGACAGTGATTTGCTGGGTTTTATGCGGCAGACGAAATTGAATGTTTATGCATCTGCTGACAAGCCGAATCCCTGGCCTAACTCATCTTAGTATAAAAATACTTCATGTCAGGTGCGTTACACTACAAGAGCTAATTCCCCCGACAACATTCCGTTCATCCGGCTTATGGCCACAATGCCTTTAGACCACCTAGAGCGGTGACAAAGAGACTACAGATTGGCATTCCTCCACAGCATAAGCCAGATGATAGCACAAACATGACTGTCGGCGCATGATGCTTTTATCTCCACCACATCATGTGGCACGCAGCCCAAAACTCCCAGATGTTGCTTATCGGGATAAACTATTGACATTCATCCATGCACTGATGTCCTGAATAAGCAGCGGCATAAACAAAGTACCTCATGGAATTGTGATTGTGTGTGTTGTTAAACAATAGATGCAGCATAGTTTAGCTTTGTTGTCGCTGCTGAAGAGATTTATTTCTGTGAAAAGCATTTTCCTGCCTGCAGCAGTTTGCTCTCTAGGGAACGTTGCACCTGATGACGTTTTCCCTTATAAAAGAGAAGATCCAAATTTTTCTGCTGCTGATGCTTTTAAAAAAAAAAAAAAAATCTCATAGCACACGTGAACCCAACTAAGCAGAGAACACCATTAGTTTTACTGTCTGTTGGAGAAAGTGGCCACATTAGAGTAAATGGAGAGCTCTGGGTGCTATCAAAATGTTTTTCCTCCCAAAGTCACTCCCATGATTTGCCAATTACACGCATCTGTGTTTTCAAAGGGAGTCCATTTTGGGGCAAACATAAAAGAGCTATTTTATACGTGCACTGTAAAATGTGATATTTCAAAGTGAAACTGTGTGGACGTAATGGCTGCATCATAAAGATTTGGCTCAGACCAAATGCATTTTTAGCCCAGACAGCCTACACTATTTCTATAGAGCTCCTCACTAGCTGTTTTACATTACAGACTCTATAATAACATACCATCAGACCATAAAACGCCAGCTGAAACAATTCCTGATAATTCCTAGCTCTCTTGTTTTATCATACCATTCCTGTCCTCGTCCAGTTTGGCCTTGTTTGATTTCCCTCTTTGTGGGTGCCAAGAACTGGTCTTTTATTCCACTCCATCAGCCAGAGTTTGAATCAGTCAGCTTTGGAACCAACTCAAAGCGTCAAATGATTTTTATGCTAACGTGGAATGGTGCTTTTGGCTCACACAGTGGTCTGGAGATGGTCTCAAAGCCTCACATTATTCCCTCCTCTCCCTCTGGAGATTTCCTTTTTATGTTGTTGTTTTTTCAGGCAGGTAACAAAGCCACAGAAGAGAGTTGTATGGTCTCCTCAGAGGCATGCCGAACTTAGGCAGCCAAGACTGAGTGTTGTTTTAGGATGTCATTTTTTTTTTTTTTTTTTTTTTTTTTTAAATCTAAATTGAGCCCTCATGCATTGATTTACAAATTATTCAAAATAGTAAATGATTGATGCATTTAACTATAATGTATTAAATTAATGGCTTTGCATTAAACCCTCACATGCTTGCACATTATGAGAGATTACTCCAAAATCAATTGTGCAGTTGGTTGCACTTCCTTATGCATATAACTTGGTCAGTTGGCATTACAGGATGAATTAGATTGCATTATATTACATTTGGACTTTGATTAGACTGCATGTCATTAAATAGGCAGTATTATGTGTTTGCCAGGCCCCTAGTGCCATTTTATAGCACAATCAAGTAACTATGTTACCTTCAGTTGTAATAAAATACCCCCTTTAATATACAGTGAAGAAGTATTTGCCACGTTGCAGCTTTTTTATATTTTATATTTACTTTATTCACATTTCATAACCTGGTTGAGTAAATGTACAACCATTCTTCAAATAGTCGTCTCACTTGTTAAAAGGACAATATTATGTATTTTCTAATAAAATACTTGATTTATAGCCCAATCAAGTAACTATGTTACCTTCGCTTGTTATGAAAACACTCTATATATCAAACAGAACTTAATAGAATGTGACTTTTAAATTGGGCCGCTGTCTCTTTAAGAAGCTCCTGCTATTTCTGACACTCCTTTAGCATGTCATCTCAATAATGCTCGCCATCACTATGGTGTTAACAATCATTCTTAGGAGCGTTGCACTGAGAATTGGCTTGCATGATAAACTCCACAGATGCGCAGTTCCACCAGATGTTTGCTAATTGCTGCTGCTAGTCTGGAGGAGCTGAGTGGGGCAGAGTGCTGGGTTGCGTTGCTCTGTTGGGTGCGGTCTTGGCTGGGGAGCCTTTTCCTAGAAGGAGCTCTGAGTATATTGGAGATTCAAGGATTTTCCCCAAATCATGAATAAATCAGAGCAACACTCCTGGTATGTTTTTGATGAGAGAATAACATTGTAACATGACATAACACTCAAAAAAGTCTATTTTACATCATTCTGCCAGCTTGAAACTAAAAACTAGGCACTTGCTTGTTTTCTTACAAACAAAACTGCCTTTGCAGTGTATTTATTCTGACATTCCCATAGAAATTAAAACGGGATCGATTTTGGACGACCTTCTAAGGATTTCCATACTCAACTTTTCCAGCTCGACAACAAAGACGAGTTTTACCTTTGATACTTTTATCCAGCTTTGCAGATACATCTTAAACAGCTTAAGGAGATAACATTTTGAATATCGGCGTCTACGGAGAACACAAAACAAAATGGTAAAATGCTTTGGGTTGAGCTAAGAAATGTGTTTATTTTAGCATTTCAGACATAGAGGTTGTAGGATAAGTTTTATTTACTCATGCCAACCCACCTGACAATTTATATCGACAAGACCTGACAAAAGAGTTGCATCTTGTTGCTTTTTGTGGATAGAGACGCATCAGTACCGCATGAGTGAAGCACCAACTCTCATTGTTTATTTACAGACAGCACACCTCCATCAACAAAATCTACAACAAAGGAAGAGGCAGAGGATGGCGAAAAGGGTGAGCGTGTTACTAAATCTATATGTCTGCCTGTTGTCTGTTTGTCTTCTACTCCAATTCTTTTTAATGTTGAGCATGCCAGGCAGCGTTACTGGTAGTGGGAGCCTCTTACACTGATATGTGTTTACAGAAAAATTTTCCAGCATGTCTAAACTAATGGAATGTGTTTTTGCTGGGTAATCTCTTGCTCTCTAATGCCTCGCTCTCCTCTTTGGGGAAATGAATAGAGGATGAAGCTTGGTCCTTTTTTAAAAGAATGTTTTCTTTCGGGCAAACCTGTTTAGGAAGCCATTATCTGGCTATTCTGCAGCTTCAGCCCCTTTGGATGTGTAATGTTGAAACAATTATAGGCTTCTACAATACGATGGACCAAAGATAATGAGATTCTTACACTGGAGGGCGTTGGTAGGCAATTAAAATTGTACACCATCCATTTGTCTTGAAGCCTTAAGATTGTAGGAAGGTTTTGAAGATAACAGTCATGCTTGTTTTCTTTGGAGAATCTGCTCCTCGCGATCCTCTGGACATCGCAGTCACTTGAAGGGCGACAATACAATTTACGCTGTAAAACAAAGCATAACAAGTCATCTTCCTCTGCAAGTTACCTCCTCTCTAATCCACAACCGTAATTCAGGATGATTCTAAAAATTCAATCACCAGCATTAGAAGGGCATAAGCATTTTGTAATAATCTTTAGAAATCCTAATTTATCAGACCCCGCAGCTTAATAGTAACTAATCCATTCACAAAAGGCCTTGACGCAGCTTCCCGGCTTGGGAACAGTCAGTCCTTGAGACAACCTCTTTCAGAGGAAGGGAATGAAATGATTTTGTTCTGCCTGCACTGTAAAGGTTAGGTGTGGTTCAATGTAGCACATAGGAGGGATTAATCATAGCAAACGCTCAGATGTCAAGATACCACAGAGCAGAGGAACGGTGAGCTGGAAAAGCACACTGTCAGCTGTGTGAGACGGGCACCCTAAGATGCTTCAGAACAATAGAGAAGGAGCTTCCTCCTTTGAAAACACACAACTGTATTTCACTGTATCCTGTCTGTACTGGGGTTCTGATGAGGTGTCATCGATCTGGGGGGGATTTTATTTTGGGTTTTTATTATTTTTTATTTTTTTATTTTACCGAAACTGGTACCTGTCAGTAGATGTTAGTGGATCCATCACATCCATTATGCTCCTCAGGGGGTAAATGCATACGTTTTACTGGGTCCCCCATTAAGGTACAGAGGTGTTCTTCACTACTCCTCTAAGAATAATTCACTGTTGGAGGACTGCAGGTTATTGTAGGGCTTCCCTTCTCCCTCTGTTTCATACACAACACATACAAGTAATTACTTTTTCACCTTACAAGCAAAAGCCCTCTGGGCCCCTATGGGCTAAAGGAAGAAAATGGAAATAATGAAAACCCAGCATATTCTGAAATTCAACTAAAGCTGTCCAGTCAAAGTCCCTTGAATCTGATAGAACATCTGTGGAGGGAGATGAAGATTAGGGTGATGGCAATGAGGCCTTCCAACCTAAAAGACTTGGAGGTCATCACAAAAGATAAATCACCAAATTACAAGTGGACGCATGCAAAAAGCTGGAAAGCAATTTGAAGAATGGTTTGATTTGTTGTAACTCCAAAAAATATTGTTCTATTTATTATTGAGAAGAGCATAAAAACAATTTAACATGACATATTTTTTTTATGAAACATAATCTTTTTTTTTTTTTTTTATCAAAAGGTAGGCTAATTTCAAAATTTTAGACTGTTTTGAGAGATTCTTCATTTCCTTTCAGAAAGCAAAGCTGTGACTCAACGGGAAAAAAGACTTTAGATATAAATCTGCTGTGGGATTAATTTGGACTTTGACTTTATACTGTGTGTTAATTCCACACAGACTCTGTTGCCACTTTTTGAACCAGGATTTTACTGGATTTGTATTGGATTTTATTTAGAGATATCAGATTAAATAAATGTAACAGAAAATCAAGCCACATGTCAGATTCATATTTGTAAACATTTTTGGCGACAATCTATGTAAATCTAAATCTGAGTTATATTATATTATATTATATTATATTATATTATATTATATTATATTATCCTTCTTTCCATTATCTTCTGATGATCTGGGGTCGGGTCGCGATCATGTCAACATATTAAGGAAACGGTTTAATTCATTTTAAGGGCATAAATCATGAGGTTTATGTTAATGAGTGGCTGATGAGTGTAAGTAGCTAATAAATGAAACCTCAAGCAATCAGAGGAATTTGAGAAATAGTGTCTCGGATCAACAGTGTGTGTGGGGACGAGCTGTGCTGTGATAATCCACATGAAACAGAAGCACAGCATGCACACGCTGCAAGTTACATAAATAAAAGTGGGGGGAAGGAAAGGGTGGGCCACCCGCTGATCCAAGTGCTGGCACAGAGGTCTAAGGTGAAATATAAGCTCTTTGAGAACACCTCACAGTGTCTATTATCTGATATCAGGTTGGAATTAGTGAGATTAGTTGATGTCACAGGGCAAGCCACAGTAAAATGTGAAAACTGAGCCAGAAATCAATGCCTGGCATTGGATGCATACTGAGAATAACCTGAGGGGGAGCGAGGGGGATGATGGTGAAAGATGGCGCATCTCTGCGCGGGTGTGGACAGATATGTAGATTAATAACACTGTGTGGACTGACAGCCAGCCTCTCCATGGGATGCCATCTTTTACGCTGTGGCTGCCTGTCAAACGTGGCTCACAAACGAACTTGCACTTTGCTTGCACACACAGATTTCACATGCTGAAGGTCTCAGAATGATCGCTGTGGGTCATCCCTGAGCTTTTTTTCCCCACTTTACATGTCTCATGAATTTTTTAAGGTCTCTCTTCTTTTTGTCTTTTGCTTCAGTGGATTTAATCAAAGAAACAACAGACAAGGCTGTGGGCCTATCTGAGCCTATCTGATGAGTATGTGCAAAGTGCTGTGGGAAAGTATTAGCCTACTTACAGTTTTTTATTATTCTGTCGGGTTATAAAATATATTTTTATATTGTATAAGGATAAATAAATGCATTTTTCTAATAATTAATTTTATTAAGTAAAAAACTATTAAAAACAAAAAAAAAACAAATATAGTACCTGTCTAACTTACATGAAGCAGGCTGAAAGATTTCCAAAAGATCTTTTGATCTGCTTCATGTTGATAGACAGGTATCATTGCCGAAAGATATTTTGGTCCACACTAAATGCAAAAAATAATAAATAAATTACAATAAAAAAACATTGAAAAAAGGCAGTTTTTAAATGATTGCATTTATCAAGGCTAGAAAAGGCAATGCAATTGCACCTATGATTTAAAAAAAAAATAATCTAAAAAAGTATCTGTTTTAACAACGTGAAGTAGGATAAAAGATTTCCAAAAGATGTTTTTCCCTGAGTAAATACAAAATGTAATTTGAAATAAATAAAAAGCTCTGCAAACCCACCGAAAATTAAAAGTCGCTTCAATGAAACTTCTTTGTCAGCTTGAAGTGGGTTAAAAGATTGAAAAAATATAATGCGTTACTCTGTGTTCATCAGATTTCATGGCTCGGATTCAAAAGTCATTTCTAAGGCTTTTTGTTGAGCCACAGTGAAGGCCATTATCTGCCAGTAGAGAAAACATGGAACAGCGGTGAACCTTTGGCAGGCTACCATATTTAGATCAAAAGCACATTAACAAATCATTCAGGAGGTAATGAAAGAATGTAGAACAGCATCTACATTGGCATTGCAGAGCCAACTGCCTCAGTCAGTATTTTGGAAAAAGTAAAAGAACATGGAGAGTTCTTAGGCAAAAACCACTGCTCACCAAAAACAACACAAAACATGTTGATGATCAGCAAGACTTTAGGAAAATATGCTTTGGACTGAGAAACCCACCAGCTCTTCACCTTAAACTGAAGCACACTTTTGTTATGCAGCAGAGCAATTATCCAAAGCCCCGCCAGCAACTCCACCTCCAGAGGGCTGGAGGGCTTTAGAAAATCAGCGACCACACACCAAACCAGTCCAGTTTGACTGAAACTAAGCAATTCTTCAAAGAGAAATGGGAACCAATTCCTTCACAGCGATGTAAAAGGTTCATTGCTGATTATTGCAAACTTTTCTTGCTAGTAACATTGCCGCAACAAATTACCACGTTATGAGGCAATTCCTTTTTTTGTAACCCTTGTAAATGAAATTATCATTTGATTTGTTTTCATTTGCTACTTGGTTCTTTTCCTCCAAAACATGAGATAGATAAGCAATCAGGAGAAGTCTGTAAGGGGAAATACTTTTTTACAGCACTGTAGGTGTTTATGGGGATTTAATATTTACTGTTATTTGCTGAATATAAACACCACTTCAACTTCCTCGACAGTATCATCATCACTTTTGGTTTACTCAGTGGTCACGCAAGTAGGACACACGAGGTATGCTGCATGTTAAGACCTAAATTATTAACGTCCTTGTAATCCTGCTGGCTTTTATGTTAACATAAATAAATCATTCAGAGTGAGTAAGATTTGTCTTTTTTTTTTTTCAGAAATACACTCCAGCCTTCTTGTTTTGTGTACAAAAGTGCAGCAGAGTGGCTGAAATTGCTTTTTTGTTCCTACATTTCTCAAAGCGGGTTTCATGGACGTATTGACACTGGAAATGTTGTGGTGTTTGCTGAAGCCTCCTCTGTGAAGTATGTCAGAAACTGATTCGCAGCTGTGACAGTATCATATGGTGCGCTCTGGTAAAGAAAGCTGTGACAATGCTGCCACCTGCTGTTCGGGGCGTTCGGGTCTGGGGTTTCATTTTGTGAGGAGAGACAGCAGTCTAATTGATCCCAACTTGGAGCCATTATAAATCACATCAACCCAGAATCTACTCTGTTAGGAGTTGTATGCGAGTGAGTGTGCGTGTGTGTGTGTGTGTATCCACAATCTGTCCCTTTGCATCCTCTATCCCAAATAGAATACTGTTCCATTCAATAAGCCAAACACAAATGATCAAATAACATGGAGGAAATTACTTTTGGTACTTTGTCATATCTGATATATGGTTAATAAAGATCACTTTAAAAAGCCATGAATACCTTTTTTTTTTTCCACAGAGAACAGGTTTAGGATGTTTTCGAGGCTTGGGAAGTATTATTCTGACACAGTTCTTCCTGGTGAAGTACTCTTTTCAGCCCCCCTGTCTGTGGCTTCTTCTCAAAATGCCAGTCATGATTAATACAAAGCGCTGCCATCTGTGTGTCACTGGCATTCTGTGTGATGGACAGAGGTACTTGGGACAAACATGTGGCAGTGGTAGGACTGGCCTTTTCCCCCATTTAATAGAGGTTGGCAGTTTTATTGTTCTGAGTGCATCACAAAATTGCATAGATATGAAAAAATGGCCTCTTGCTGCAGCTTGTTAAAAAAGCAATTATAGAAGCTGCACAATAGCCATTGTGAAGCATGTTCTCTTATTGGTGTCATGGCTTTCATTTACTCAATTTGTCCAAAATGTCATTGGTTTATGTGTGTGCATAAATGGGAAAGTGCGGGAGGAAGCAAAGAGGGACACGGAGGATGAGAGCGGCATATATGATGGCAGATTAATGTCTTATAAAAATATATACGCATATTTTGCCTTTTATGCTGGCATATTATTAGAAGCTGTTTAACATAGGGAGATGGCGATGCGTCTGCTGACTTTAAGAGTGGTGATGATATGCATGTAAACTATGCAGCTAAATCTAAATCAAGTGGTATATGGTGAGCCATAAAACTTGTAACATGATCCATTAAATATACAGCTTTATTTTATTTTTCCAAGAGTGGAGACCCATCATCATCATCATCATCGTTACTATAACTGCTCTACACTGAAAGCATGCAGTGCCATGCCAAAGTATTCATATCCCTTCAACTTTTTCACATTTTGTCACATTACATCCAAAGACTTCAATGCATTTTATTTAAACTATATATGATGAGTTAAACTGTTTTACTCTCAACAATAAGGAAATAAGTGTGTTGTGTATATTTATTTAGCTCTTTTGAGTCAATACTTTATAGAAACCAACATTTGGGGTAATTTCAAGTTTCTAGTCTTGGTTTATGTCTCTAAATATCTCAAGCTCAGTCAAATTGGATACAGAGCATATCTGACTGGACTTTAACTACGCCCTGGTTGTGTGTTTAGAGCTGTTGGTCTGCTTGAAAATGAACTTCCGCCCCAACATTTAAATCTTGCTGCCTCTGACAGGTTTTCTTTCAAAATTACTCTTTGTGTAACACAAGCCAAATTCTTGTTACTGTTTATACCGAACAAGAGCATCCCCACAGCATGATGCTGCCATCATCAAATGTCACAGCAGAGATGGTGTGTTTTAGTGTCATCTGACCAGACCAACTTTTTTCCACAAATTTAATTTGTCCCCTGAAAATGATTTTTCTGCTGCCCATTTCCCACCAAGACCAGATTTCTAGATGTAAAAGCCAAGTTATCTTGTCAAAAGATTTTCTCACCTGAGCTCCTCTGAACATGTCATTGGCCTCTTGGAGCTTCTGGTTAAGCAACCTCTTTGCACTTGACACTACTTGAAATCTGCTCGTTCTAATCAAGGCTTTGCTAAAATATATCCCAAACTTCATTTAAAATCCCTGGTAAGCGCCAACCCTCAATGCTTTAAATTCTGATTTAGTACCTTAAATTCCCATAAAAAGCTTCCAGATTGAACAATTTCCATAATTTTTATTACCCTGCCCTGCAGGTGTAGTTCACCCTAAAGCGTAGATAAAGTGCCCTGGACTGATAAAACAAACTTTCTTTGTGAAGCACTTTGCAAAACGTGATGTCAGCTCTACTGAAATGAGTCCTTTGCAGAGAGAAGATGAACACTGATGATTAGTGTGACTCGTTGCTTTGTTTTCCTGATATGAATAGCTGGCATTTTTCACATTCATGCTTGTACTTGTATGACAGCTCCTTCCCCTTCTTTTCTAGGTAAAGAGGAAGCTCATGACGAAGAGGAGAAGAACGATGGTAAAGCAGCTCCACGCACCATTAAAACATGTTCTCAGTCTCTCTGCTTCACCAATGCTTCTTGATGCCATTTGTCATCAAAAAAATAAAATTTTTATTCATCTCTGCTCAGCCTTTCCTTCCTTTTCGACATACAAGAAAAAACTTCTCTTATCACTTGCTTGGAACAAAGAAATCCCTCAATTATGTATGGCTTTAGAAGTGACATTCTTTCTCTTTTCTTTTCTTTTTTTTTGTCTCTTAATTTATGCATGTCTTTGTGGTTCCATTGCTCTCATACTGCAGTACAAAGACAAAGCTGTACAAAGAGTTGGAATAAAAAAAAATGCTTTTTGAGGCGATATGGAAAGTCGAATCATTTCGACACTCTGTTTCAGTGCTGAACCTGAATGTTTTTCCCCTTATTTGAATTCCTTCTCTGTTTTTCAGAACTGGAAGATGAAGACATGCCGAGTCAACCCCAAGGTATGGTTTAGTTTGGAGTCCAATCTTCCAGGACAAACACTGGCTTTGATTAGATGTGATCATCTTAAGTGTAGATTTCCACCTCACTAACCACCACATCCTAAAGTAGCATGTTGACCTGCTTCCCGTCTCTGTCGGAAACTGAAATTCAGCTTTGGTTTTTCTTTCTAAGCTTAAAGTGTAAAAGTATTGCATGGACATTTTGCTTAAAGTAGAGCTATAAGCAGAGCGATTCTAATGCAAATCTCCAAATATACATCAGCGTGGAGCATCCCAAAGCTCAGATGTTATTTCTTGAGCTGTGCGGGTAGAGGGTATATACGTGTATCTGTGCATTTTCTTTTGGCACATTGGCAGCCATTAACTTTGAGCCAGAACCGTTTCTCTTTTTCGAATATCCTCTGTGCTGCTGGTATATAATTAAGATTCGGCATTTGCATACTGGCAGCGAGCGGCGCCTCATCTCTCTTCTGGTTTTGTTTTATTCAAATCCCATGCCATTGACAGTGATTTGACAGATAGAGCCTCTCTCTGCATGAATTTTGGAGGCATTCTGTGAGCAAGTTCTAGCAAATGCTGCCCTGGGATGCTATCCAATATCTTGGATGTGTAATTACCTTCTCATGAGACACAAACAGGGAGTTAAGAGCAAAAGAGACCAGCAGGATAATTTAACAGAAATTGCTCCACACAGTACAGTGCTTTACAAAGGTAATGGCACCCCTTGAACTTGTTCAACTTTTTTGTCTCATTGCCACCCATTTATTTATTTTTTTCATTTTATGGGATAGATCAAAAGTAAGTGTTATATTATTGCGAACTAATACAAATCGGAAAAGTTTGATGTGTGCACGTATTGTGTGTGTAGACATAATTAGCTTTTGCTATAATACTTTGAGCTTAATTTTTACACTGTCACCTATATTACAAGAATAAATGTACGAATATTAACTTTTGAAATATCTTATTCAGCAGCCAATATTTCCCCAGATTTTGTCTTTCTTTTAGTCTGAATGTCTTTTCCTGTCATCTGTCAAACTCCATTTCAGCAAAAAGAGAGACCAAAGTGTTACTGTATAAATGTTTCAGAGATTTCTATCAGCAGTAATGGAGTATGAGGTTATGTTTCTGCCACATATTAAAAACCGTCATGTGACACTCAAATGCCCCAGTTAATCATTCAACACTCTCTTCCTATTATTTGTTTTCTAACTATTTAAAGATGAGGATGAAAATTCAAACAAAATGGAGTCGGAACAGCAACAGAATGACGAACATGAAAAGTGTGAAGAAAAAGAAGAAGAGGAGAGCAAAATGGTCACTAACATCGAGGAAGATGACAATAAACAGGACACCAGCAAAGAAAAGGAGGATAACAAAGGTATATTTCTAACAGAAGCTTTGGTACAGCTGACCATTTCCTTTAATTTATCTTCTCTACTGACTCAAACAGATGGTTAAACTGTCCTGTGAAGGCTTGTGTCAAATTAAACAACATATTTCCTTTGTTTCCATCAGATCAAGAACAACTTGTCCCAAGGAAAGATAACGACCCACCAGATCCCAGCATGGAGATGGAAGGTAAGATCCAAGTTTTTTTTTCAGTTGATTTGATCTTATATAAACTAATTGATAGTTTCAATGAGTCTTTATTTAGGTGATTTGTCTTTTCTAAGCTGATCTTTTTGATCTCTAGAGTATCATATAACAACGGTTGGTGGATTTGTTTTAAGATTGTAAGTTGCACTATTTTTCCTTTGAAATCAGTCTGGATCTATTTCACCAACCCAAAACAGGAGCCTGAGGTGGCAAAACAAATTTCAGGAAACAGCCTTGGTGGAGATGCTGGAAGCAGCAAATCAACAAGCTGCACTAATAATCTGAACTATTAAACAGTGCATTTCACAGCGATCTCTAAAGATGTGTAAAAGAACTTCAAATAAGTTCATCTTTTAGTTAAGTAGAATAATTTCACATATAGTTTTTTTTCTAAGTGGCACATAGGGTCAGGTTGTTTGGATAACTTTTCTTCCATAATAAGTGAGATGATCATTGGAAGACTGCTTTACATTTATTCAGGCAGGTTATGAAATGTCATTGAAAATCATGAATGTAAGAAAATATAAAACACAAAAAAATAAATAAAAGGTGGCAAATATTTTTTCACTCTGTCAAAGTGGGATTTTCCTTTTTATTTTTTAATTTTTATTTTTTTGCCGCTATTAAAGAAAGAATATTTGAATTGATGATGTTACTTATATGGGGGAAACTCTGCCTACTTGATTTAGCATATTAAGTCCATGGATATTATTGATTTTGCATGCACAATATTAATGCAGCACAGCAGCATGAAGTGTAACCTGGGCTAATATATATATATATATATTTTTTTTTTTATAAAAAAAAAAAAAAGCTGAATCATATTTAATGTCTTCTGACAACGAGACCCCTGAAAAGTATTGTGGGTGTAGCCACATTTGATAGAGGTTACTTGTCTTTGCCACAAACTCAAACGGTGAGCATTAAAGTTGTTTCAGGTAGCAATTTTATGCCATTACTGTGGAATATTACCAATGATTTTATTCAGGACTGGATCCAACAAAGTCGAAAGGTGAAATTATTGAGAAAGATTTTAAAAAACAGCATGTAATTTGGATCAGCAAGGGGCTTTTAATGAATCTCTCCTCTGGCAAGGTTTCTTTGCAGCTGGTGTTTATTTATCCGGACTCTTGAACGTCTGCTTTTGGTATATGAGCATCTCTTTTTAGTGGACGTTTACGTTTCTGACCACACATCCGTCTTTATTTGCCTCCAATTTTTGGTGGCCCCTCACTTCTTGAGCGCATTCTCCTGAGCATTAAAGGTTTGAATTTTAAACCCCGGCTGCCCGTCTTCCATTTTTGCTCGAACACAAAGGTTTGAGTCACTTTCTCACCTCCGTTTCACTTTCCCTTTGACTGACATTCAATTAATTTGTGGAGAGAGAGTGAGTGCTCCTGATGGAGATGAGATAGCCTTCTCCATCCTCTGTGAAAAGCCAGCAGAATATATCCTACCCACACTACAGACTTTCCTTCCCTGAAAAGCTTCACTCCAGCCTGTTGACTGTCTCGGCTAAGCCTGCCACTATCTGTCACTGTCTTGCGTACCATGGGCTGTGTACTGTTTGGCAGGACTGTCAGGCAGTAAACAGTAGTGTCAGTTCTGATTGGAGGCAGATTGCATTTTGTATAGAAAAGTAGGGGCCTCGGCCAGACTTCTGCCTAAACTGTTCCAGTTGCAAAAGATATTAAATCTCTTGCAGGCCAGTGGAGAACAGCTTAGCCGTGCGCAACCAGCTATTCACAAGACAAGACCAACTGATCCCAGAGCCAATACCTTTTATTAAAAATAATAACTGTAATCAGGCTGCCTACACATGACGGTGGAAGTTAAATCTGCCTTATTGAAAGCAGTAATAAAATGCCTCACAGTGACGGGAGGGATTAATAGTAAATCAAACAGATTGTGACATTACTGAGATCGTTCACGTTATCAATGATAATTATTAAGGACTTAATATTAATTAGTTATACTTTTGTGCCAACAAAATGATTCTGGATGAAGGATAAATTTGCCCCGGGCCGTGGAGATTGAAGTACTGGGCGTAGATGTTCAGAAAACCCTCACAACTTTCCCCCTCCATCCTAAACAATTTCCTTAAAATAAAAGGGGCAGTTCAAGATTTTTTATGTGAAGTTCTGTTAAAAAGGTGTAAGCAGTGAACATCCTACCTGCTTTAGATAATTCTCTTGAATGTGTACAGGTAGCATAAGTCCAGATTAGTTGGTAGCAAAAACCCAAGCCCTGAGGTGCAGGACCAAATTGAATTTAGAGGAAGAGTTGGTTGAAAACACGACAGATCCGATAAGAAAATATGCAGTTCAACAGCAGACCTTGAGCCTTGTATTGAGGATTCATTTACATTCAGCCAACTCAAAAATGTATAAAGTTATGGTTTGACAAAGCATGAAGAAGGGGTATGTAATCACTGGTGCGTGAAAATCTGAGTCATGTCACATGGAGCTATGAGGCGATTACATTTCTTAAATGTCTTTTTGTTACGTTTGACAGGCTGTGTGGGCACATTGTGGCATTTTATAGACTTCATTATTACTTCATCTTGAAAACTGAGTTTCCCGTGTCTTTGTCCTGTACATTTGATGCTTAAAAGTAAGTAGAGGCAAGATGCCTCCTCCAGGCAGTCTTTCCAAACAAGCTATTCAAGCCTTCTCATAATAGTAGTCATGAACCTTTAAAACATAACTTGGGAATAGAGTCCTGTAGAGTTAGATGTGGATGTAAGGGTTGTTTTGTAATTTTTCTGGAGGATTGCACAGCTTGACCTCAAGTTAAACCTTCAGAAACCTTCAGTTTGGGGAAATTCAGCAGATGTTGGGGGGACAAACAGATTTCTTCTCTGTAAAATAATCTTTCTTAGACTGATAGAGAGCAACACGTTTCTCTGAACTCATTAATATCAACCTTTTCTGGCTGTGTGCTGAAACAAACCTGGATGCGGTGGCGCAGCCAACCGCCCAGACATGAACCTTTTAACAAGGTCTGCACTCTTGCTCATCATCCGTTTAATTAAGTTCTTTGATTAGCAGCTTCTTGGAGCTAATTTCAAACTTAATTCCTGTGAAACCAGTGAAATTGTTTCAGAAGTTTTGTTTTTAGTTGTTTTTTTTGAGAGATTGTTTTTTATCAGTCAATTAAACTTCTGTATCCCTAGATTTAAAACCTACTGATTATTAGATCATGTTTATGGCCTAGTTGACAAGCACATGTACTTTCCTTTCATCTTCAGATTAACATGCTCATAGATCTTTATATATATATATATATATATATATATATATATATATATATATATATATATATATATATATATATATATATATGGCTTCTAAAGTACCTTCCTCACTTTTTGATTTTGCACATTTCTGTCCACCGTCGTCAGCATTGTCTGCTGACACTCTGCTTTTTTTTTCCACGCAGCTCAGTGTGTATCACAGCTAAATATCTCGGCCCCAACTCAGTCACGCTAAATAAGACACATCTATGTTTTATTCATTTTCACTGCTATTATCAGTATAATGTGTTAATGTAATAATCTGCTCATTCTGCACACACTCCCTCATATTAAAAAAAAAAAACAAAACGTGTAGGATTGTGTTTAGGTCATTTGCTGATGTTTCATCAGATCTTATTACCAAACCAATGCCATCTGTTGTTTACTTAGCAGGTTTTTCATCAAATAAATATGCAGTTAATTCCAAGCATTTACTCAACCCAGTGTTTTAATTCTGCATGCGGCAAAAACAAGATCGCAAATTATTTGTATTAAATAAATTCCTTTTTTTTTTTTAACTAGAATGACTGAAAAATAAAGATATGTGAAGAGGAGGAGGAGGGGACTTTTGATATTTTGAGCCATGCTGGGTTCTCAACTATTTGCACCATGTGAATAAAATATCACTCTGCAAATGCTGTGAGATTCTATACTTGATAGTTGGGATATTATAAAAGGCTCCCTAAATTGAATCAGAATCCAGACAGCCTATATGTATGAATATTCATGGCATACTTTAAAATGAAAATGGGAGCTACACTGTTATTGTGTTTGCCTCATTCTGGCGGTTTGCAAGAGTGGGCAGCCGCTTCACTGAGCTCAGTGCAACACCCATAAATTAAAATGAGACCGCCTAAAGCTAGGAATAAATAAATCTGAGCAGTGAGCAGATATTGTTTTTTCCTTCATGCAGTGAGATTCTCTTGGGAGAATCAATAGCATTTGTCTTGGTTTCAAAGGTAAGACTCAATGGCTGCACACAAATTTGATTCTGTATAATCATATCTGTATATTTCATGGTCTTTTCCCATAAAAAAAAAACACCTTTGGTGTAGGTTTCAAATGCAAAGCATTTACATCTGCATGATTGCTTGTCGATAGTATAGTAGACTGCTGGTCATTTATTATGTAGCTAGACAACCTATAGTAAAGCTGACAAGAACAGCAGGGATGTTGCAGAGAATTTATTTTTTATTTTTTTCCAAAATTTGTCCTCTTATCTTGGAGATCTGAGCACTCCCTGTTCCTCCTACCTTTGATCAAGCTGCTCCCCGGAGCAGGTTCTCTGTGAGATAAAAGCGGATCCTTTAATGCTGCCAAGAGAACATTTGTTGTAGAATGGCGGTCAGGCGCAAGCCAGGCTCGTAATCATTAGAACAGCACATAAAGACAAAAACCACACTATACAAAAGCCGCTATATTTATTAAATGACAGAATTGCTGTCAGATTTTCAATATCCACCATCATAACAAACAATCCAAAGTCACCTTGTGAACAATATAGATTTTTTTTCTGTCCTTGTCACTGGAATCAAAACTTCAAAATTACTGGAATACCAGACATTGGACAAACATGACAAGATTTTTTTAAAAGAGTAACTTTATTATCACTGTGTTTAGAGTTCCTATTTATTTATTCTTGTCATCTTCACATTGAACTACACACATATACTAGCTCTGGAAAAAA